GGCCGCCACGGCGCAAAAGTGTTACTTGCGACCCCATTTGTGAGCGTACCATAACCACGCGATGGCTTAATGTGCTTCCTTTACAATATAATAGTCTTACAATTCGTCTCCAGTATAATATGTGTCGATGACAAGAAAAACATTTACGGCTTAGGAATTTGACGTAGTTAACCACGAAATATTCCTAAAGAAATTAGATTACTTTGGCATCAGAGGTAACGTTTCGAATAATTTTAAAAGTCTATCTATAATAGAAACCACAAGAATCTATAAAATATTTAATGGGGAGTTTTTCAGATCAAAATACAAAGTAAATTTTGGTGTCCCACAGGGCTGTATTTTAGGATCTCTAGTCTCTAGAGAGTCTCTAGAGATCTATCTATAAAACATAGACAAAGTATTAGTACGTATAATCGTATCAGATAGATATGAAAATAATGATTATAATGATTCATGAACTTAACAGTTAATGGTATTAAGTAATTGGTAATCCATAGGATTTGTACGCTAATGTAAAATTTACAGGGTATTGAATAGTGATCATGAAAATTCTAGAGTTTAGTAAAATAAATACCTACAAAAATATAATATTTTTTTAAATCAAACTCTAAACACTAAGTACCACATCGCATACAAAAACTTCAAAGTAAATCATTCTTCTTCGATTCTTCTACGATTCATTGTTTATAGAGGCTTATAAAAGATAATAATATAATTTAATTTATAAAATTATATTATTAAATAAACTAGCCCCCAAAATCCTACCTTGCGTCCGTATCGAACACCAGATCACGCGGGGGGCGGACACGCGTACTAATGAAACTTACGCGGCTAACAAGGTAAAGGTAACCCATTAATCATGGAGAATCTTAATATTGGAATACGAATAGGGTCGCTGCCCGGGGGTGATCGCCGGGGCACGTCTGGAGCTGGTGCTGGACGTGACAGCATACGGACCACCAGTGGCTCTTTGCTGAACAGGCGGGCGAGAGTCGGGGATCTCGAAAATGTCACAGCTGATCAACGGGGAGGGGAGGGCGCGGATGATGCTTTGCAGAGTAGGGCTTCGCCCGTAGACTCTATCGGCTCATCTACAACGACCACAAATAATGCAATAAGTGACGATAGAAGAAGAAAGTGGTCAACAGAAGAATTAAAAGAATTAATGATTTACAATATGTCTATTAATACACACCATTCATATCTAATTTTATCAATTTTGAAGTTATGGGGACATAAATATCTTTTTTCCTGTGGGTTAAGGGACGGGGTATTTATAAAACCCACAAAAAGTCGAGATGTTGAAACCAACACATAACTAATTAAACTATATATTTATATAATTAAATAAATAAAAAGTTTTCTCAAGTGTTCCCAATCTTTTTTTCAATAAAAAATCAATCAAGTTCAACAATCAAACTATAAACATTGATTTTCAATGCTTTTGACTATAAGTCAAAAGTCCGTTATTTTAGGAAATGTATATATTTACCTTAATTTTACCTCATCAGGTAGCAAACTCAGCACTTTTATTGCGAAGTGGTTTTATTTTCATTATTATTTACAAAAAACAAAATCGTAGATTTCCCGTGAAAGTATTTTACATATAAAGATACACAGATAGGCTCACAAGATATGTATTTCTTTGATACACATAAATACTATTACGCATCTAAAAGTAACAAAATAAATTGTAAGCAAAGTTTTGCTGAGCTACAAAAATTTTAATGTTTTTTTTTGGTAGAATTTGTATATATTGTATAATCAACTAAACCCAATGCAACGGACTTATTAATTTACAATAATCTAATTGCAATCTTAAACAATACTAAAAAAATATAATTAAACAACTATAAAAATAAATGCTTAAACGTGATGAACTTTTTAAGTTCTCTTGGTACAGATTTTGATGGAAAAGTGAATACCCAAATGTATGATGAGACCATATTGACCGAATCAACCACACCCGGAATACATTACACCAGAAAAAAAACTAGTAGATAGAAGATCGAAACTGAACATCCGGAACATTAGCTCCGCTAGGTTGAAGAAGTTTTAAGACGTCCGAATTCAAGCAAGAGTCTGCTGCTTTTTAAATTTTTAATTATATAGTATCTTGAATCGTAGACTCGAATCCAAAATTTATTTTAATTCAATGGAAAAGTGAATCTTTTGTTTTTATACGATTTGAATTTCTACCTTTTCTTTCCGTTTAAAGTGATCATTGCTCGTATGTATATATTATTGAATTTCGGATAAACGTTTAATCAAAAAATTTAAAAACTGTTGAGGAGGATAAATCCGCAAAATATCGTGAATACTAAATTTGACAAAGCTTGAACTAGTTCACTCTGACTTCTTGTTGATAATATGCCTGGGTAATTCGATCATTCACTCACTATTTTTGATAGATGTCAAATACTATACTTAAATTTTGACAGGTAAATGACATTTCACTTAGAACGAGTTGCTTATGTCCACTATCCAATTGCATTGCGTCCAAACACTACGTGTTTTGTATAATGTCTGTATTATCACTTCGTTGGACCTTGGAAAAAGTGATTAGTGATTTGTTAATGCGTAATTAGTGACAGCAAGAACGACAAGTATAAAAGTGACGCAAATACCTTAAGTAGATAAAATCAAAGATATCTTATCCATATGTATTTGGAGAATGTAGACCAAATGATATAAAAGAAAAAATTAATCTTCAAGTATGTATGTGTGATAAATGATAATAAATAAAAATAATTTATGAATAAGTCATATAAAGTAAATAAATAAACAAGATATTAAAATGGAAAGTTAAGAAAAGCTGTTCCAACAGATAAGACAACAGAAAAAATAAGGGTTGGAATTCTTCCTGGGACTAAGAGTCTATGACTGCACTGCTTCTTGAATACCAGAAAAAAATAAAGTAGAGTGCACAGAACTCTCGGCCGTCATAAAGACGCTCATAAAAAACATCGTTCTACCTTATTACGATAGTTCTCGAAACAGATTTTGCTGATGAACATTGTACATTGCTAACGGTTGGGGGATTTCTATATACAAACAAAACCATACTTCAACATGATCCAGCGAAAACGACCTGTATTTCGTAGTAACTACTGATCTTGCATCGCGCAAGTAAAGTGCTTATATTTATATACAAAACAAGATCAACCGTTGAACCGCCATGCATTATCACCTTGACTGATTAGAGAATCCCTCCTTTATGAGGGACTTACAGCAATTGTTCCTCTGGAGTGGCATCAGAAGGTAGAAAAGATTTCCACGTTGCCACCTCAGTCGAGGCCTTTGTAGTCACCTCGCATTATGTGCTAATATTTAAATCGTATCAAAGACTTGTGGAAACAACCCTTACAAAGTAAATACCCTATATGCTATGTAAAGTCATACATACCAAATATGGTCCTAGCACTAAACCTTGTGGAACACCACACGATTCTCTCTGATCACATTCTATCCAACGTGAGGGAACGTCAGAAGCTTCAGTGTTATTCGTATTCTTTACTTTCGGTGAAACATTTGAATCGAATTTAGTGACAAAAACTAATCTAACAATTTAACTCACATGATTTAAATTTGATAATTGATACTAAAAAGAAAAAGATACTAAAAATAATATATTTTATGCGCTCTGAAACTTTATGTGGCTCATTTAAAAGTTTTATTAAACTTTTGGGAGCATTGTAATGCATGAAATCTAAAAATATATGGTATAGCAATAAACTGTTTAGAATACCCTTTCTTTAAACTACAATTTTATTTGATAAAACTACTAACTAAAACCAAAAATTATGCGGAGGTATGTTGATGCGAGATTGCATAATTTTGGACTAATTTTAAGATACAACATGACATACAGAAGGACGAAATCTTTATCTGATATGAATTTGATAAGAAAGATGAAAGACTTGTGAAATGTCTTCTTTTACATATCTATTTTTCTAGTAAGCTATAAAAAACTTTCGTTCACTGTCTAATCTATCTGATGATTAAAGAATTAACATAAACCACTTTTTGTCAGAATAAAAAACATCGTTACTGGAAATTTATAGCTACCCATACAATTTAATTTACAATACAATACAATTGGTCCCGTGGGAGAGCCATGCTTCGGCACAAACGGGACGGCTCGACCTGAGCTATACCACGGCCTCACATAAAACTGTTTTTAAGCAATTCCTTAGTTGTCTTTCACAGAGTGAGTTTGGTTACCGGAGCCCAAATCCTCCCGCTCGAATCAGCGGGAGGTACTACAAGGACGGCAACGCACTTGTGACTTTTGAGTTGCAGGTGTCCATGGCTGGCGGTAGTTGCTTACTTTTAGGTGACCCCTCTACACTATTATAAAAAAAAAACATAAGTAAGAATGTAACGTCAAAAAAAAAGTCTTCAATGAGTTTTCTAATAAATAAAAACAAAATAACAATGAAAATATCAATAATGGCCAAGGCCCGAGATAGCCTTGCCTTACATAGATATACGTTTGACAGATAGACACAAATGTTACACTAATAATACATGGGTAGTATCATAAATTTAAGTTTGATTTAAACACATTTAATTAATCACTAAATTTGTGAACGCTAGTCAACTAGTCATAGCCATGATTTAACAAAGTCAAAGGGTTCCCTAATGACGACAGCATTTAGTTGCCAACATAATTGTTTAAGGACCTTACCTTCATCCAAAAATGTTTATTTGATTATAAAGATTGACCTCTTAAATTGCTAAATTGATTTATGTAATATTATGTTTTAGTGGTAATAATGAGCATAACAATGATGACAATACACAGACAGACGGAAATTCCAATGTTTTATATACATAAAGTGTCAGTATTCGTTATCAGAAGATAAATCTTTATTTACACACGGTTTTCTCGTGGAAATTGTTTATCTAATTTACTTATATAATTTACTTTTTGGCAAACTAAACTAAAACATCAGTAAGCGGTTTGACGCCAAGCAGTAGAAAGTGTATCCAGCAAAATGGGTATTGGAAAATTTCGACAGTTCCATGTCGCCGTAGCATGTAAGCATTATTTACATATGTATATCTATTTTTTAATCTGGACCTTTATTTTATTTCTGGATCTTCGTTTCTTATTCAGGACAGTGAAAGTGTGCATCAGTATTGTAATTTGATATTTTTTTATTACTACAAATATCGTAATCAGTTCGCTTTCTATAAATTGATGTAGGTATTTGTAATACGTCTTCGCTGATTTAATCCTGATAGGCTAATCAGCGACGTGTGAACGAAGTCTGTTGACGAAACCGAGTATTTAGAACATAAGTGTGTAATAATGACTAGTATACTACTGTCACTGAATACTATTCATTTATTAAATTTTTAATTATTGAGCTTCTTAAATATAATGTTTGATTTATTTATACCTTGAAATCAGCTTTATCTCAATAATTTCTTTGAGGTTAGTCATTTCTATCAAGTCAAAATTTGCTTAAAATATTATCTTGCCTGAACCTGAAATCAACAGAAGAGAATAGTTAGACATTACTTGTTATTCAAGCTTTTTGACCAATTTCTATCTTTGTTATTGGTCTATTGGAAAGCGAATCTGACTGTTAAGCCTGGCGTTGGAGGTTCGGTTCCCATCCAGAATATTGTGTGATAAGTACGACCACTTGTTTGAATGTTTGTATGATCTGCAAATATTTATTTCGGAGTTTGGGCGTTTTCTATGTATGGATTTACAAGAAAAAGTATATAATTATTCTATCAGTCAATTTAGATTTCATAGTACAAGTTTTGCTTAGTTTTAAACTAGACGGTGTTGTATGTCAGATGTCCGAAAATATTATTATTTATTCTGTGGCTGGGTGTTATTTTTCTATAACATAATATGTTTATATTTAGAAATTTGTATAAATAGTTATGTTTATTGGCTATATATGGCTTACCTCCTATAACGTAATGGAATCGAAATTTTAGTCAAAACTATGCAGGCCATGCTGATCAATTTAATGGTGATTTTAGATTCTTAAATCTCGTTGTCTGCGAATTAAACAAATGACACATCTGAATTTAGTTATTTTTATGTACTTTCAGGTGGCTTTGGGTCTTTTTTGATGAGTTTAATCAACTCATGGCCCTCGTATACTGCTGAGATATATTTTTCAAACACAACTACACCGCTTTCTGCTCCTATGACCAAATTCGAAGAATCTCTTCTAGGAAGCTTGCCTTCTTTAGGAGCTATGATTGGGTCTTTGTTACCAGGATTGATAGTAGATAGGTTGGGAAGACGAAATGGTGGTGTTTTATTATCATTGCCAGTTGTGGTAAGTATTATTATTAAATCATTATCTTTAAATTATATACCTAGTTTTGCCATGGCTTTGATGTATCGTAAAAAACGAAATATATAGGATTCAACTTTGTTTTAAAATTACTAACTTTGTGAATTAATTTACGAATTATTTTTATTGATGTTACGTTATTAGGAGATCCTTTTGTAAGTTACTGGTTAAGAAAAAACTACGGTCGCCATGACAATCTCTCATAGGTACAAGAACTCGAAACTATTAGGTAATATCTTCTTTAGAATATCTTTTAAACAAATACAATTCTTGTTATGGCAGCCAGGTAACAATGATTAGAAAATATGTAGCGTAAAGCGTAAGGCAGAAAGATAACAAATTAATGTTTGTCGTAATTTCACTTCGGCACATCATTTACATTCTGTTTTTATTCAGCTCTTCGAAATTATTGAGCACAATTTCTAAGCATATCGATGTATCCAATTTTACTAGTGACAATGTCACATTATAACAGAACAGAAAGAAATATTGTATCAACGTACCGAGGTCAGAGAGTTTCTCACTGTCTACAGGGGAAATTTAGCTGGAACCAACTAGTTCCAAAGGTTGAAAAGACGGATATTGAGCACTCGCTTCAACAGATTCTCGAATTTTATTTAACCACTCACTACATGTATATTTACATATTACCGCTTGTCGAAATTGTTCATTCAATTAAAAGTTTCATTCTTTTCTTGCTATAATTTATTGCAGATATCATGGGCTATCGTAAGTGTAACAACTTCAATGAAGATGGTGCTAGCAGCAAGGTTTTTAGGTGGTATTTCTGGTGGTGCATTTTTGGTTATAGCACCTATTTTTGTATCAGAGGTAGCAGAAGATTCTATTAGAGGAACTTTAGCGTCAGGTATAGTCGCTATATTTCTTATGTATTTGTCCAAATTTAAGAATTATTAAAGTACGTCGCATTATTATTATAAGCAACTAGTACATACAAGAGTAAGTAAAGACCTGAAGTGTGCAATTCTAAGACTCTAATTACACATTCTATTGTTTTGTTCTTACGACACCCACGGGATGAATTGGGGTGGTGACAATTTGTATTCTTAATCCGTCACCACACGAACAACCGGCAATAATATGAGGCATACAGCTAGCAGTAAATTCTCTATAGCGATGTCGTCAAAACACCATAGGCTGCTTGGCTTCTGAATAAAGAGTGTACTTCAAACAATACGTCGTGTACATAAGTACATCAGTTCTTATAGCTCTTTTTTAATAGAAACATGTCGTTTAATTCCGGTGCGCGTTGTGTGTTTGTTACACTCGTACGTGAGAGAGTAAGAGAGAGAGAGAGAGAGAGAGACTAAGGACGTAAGAGCCGACTAAGGGAGCAAACTAAGCAGAACAACAGCACTGCAAAGAGAAGGAAAACTTGAAACAAACCCTATACCAACCCGTCTGGCCAGCGTGGTATAGTAGGCCAAAACCTCCTTTCTAAGGAGAGGCCTATGTCCAGCAGTGGACTAGACATAGGCTGTTGATGATGATGATGATGATGATTGTTTTGTTTAGAGCTTCACAAAAGTATTCACTAAGTAGATCAAATTCCTCGGTCGCTTAAAACCATATATTTTGTTCCAGCATCTATGTTCCTTTATTGCTTTGGAACGCTTCTTTCGTACGTCATCGGCACGTTCCTAACTTACCACATTATAATTTGGATAAACGTAATCCTTAGTGTCACTGGTACTGTTCTTATAGCATTAGTGACGGAAAGTCCTATGTTTTACCTACGGCAAAATAGAGAAGAGGTTAGTATGCTGATATTATATCTTTTTATCTTAATTTTCATATGCAGACAACTACTACACAATTTTTCATCATCAACAACAGCCTATAATAGTCCACTGCTGGACATAGGCCTCTCCTTATAAAGGAGGTTTTGGCCTACTATTACACGCTGGCCAGACGGGTTATTATAGGGTTTGCTTTGAGTTTTCCTTCTCTATGCAGTGTTGTTGTCCTGCGTAGTTTGGTCCCTTAGTCGACTCTTACGACACCCACGGGAACAATGGGGGTGGTAACACTTCGTATTCTCAATCCGTCACCACATGGACAGTTAGGACAGGACAGGACAATTTTTAACTAGTGATATGTTATATTTTCTTAGAGAATAATACGACTACGTTGATTTCAGGATGCAAGATTCTCAATCGCCAAATACCGTGGGGTACCAGTTGCATCGGTTGTGGTATTGGATGAAATAAGCAAATTGAAGCAGCAGGTTCTACCGTCTGTAGAACTTGTGCCTATATCAGGTAAATAATTGTATTACATTGAATGTTTGAAGCTATGCTCGGCGTTTCTCTAAGGGATCGCATCAGGAATGAGGTGATCCGGCAGAGAACTAAGGTCACCGACATAGCCTACCGGATAAGCAAGCTGAAGTGGCAGTGGGCTGGCCAATTTAGCCGCAGAACCGACAACCGTTGGGGAAAACGAGTTCTTGATTGGAGACCGCGTCTCGGCAAACGTAGTGTAGGACGCCCACTGGCCAGGGTGGCAGGATAGGATGGCTGGCAGGAGCTGGATGCGAGAAGCCCAAAATCGATCTAAGTGGCGTGCAATGGGAGAGACCTATATCCAGCAGACGACTGCGATAGGTTGATGATGATGATGATGAATGTTTGAAGATAAATGGGTGGTGCACGCAATTTTACTTGTCGGGTAACTTTATTTTTAGCTAATAGTCCATTGCAATGTTTAACTTCACCCATGACATAGCTATTAAGTTTCCAAATATATAAATAAATATACGAGTATGTTCGATATGAGAAATTTAACAATGGGAAATAGTTCTTTTGGAAATGTCGCTAATATTCAAGAGAAGAGAGAGAAGAAATTTAAATAAACAGAAATCAAGGGAAATAATTTAACGGTTGTACGTCATTATATTAATAAAACGTTTTGTTAAAAATAATTTAACCTAAAATGATTTTAGTTCTGAAAAAGTGACATAAATTCTTGAGGTTAAAATCTGCGATTATTACTTTCGATTAAAGTAGATATGCAAAAATTAAAAAAATGAAATATTTTGTTACAGAAAGTCAGAAATCTGAGAAAGAAGCAGAAGAAGAGAAATTAAAAGTTGAAGAAGAGCAAGAAAAGCCACAGTCCACTTCGGCATTTAAGCTTTTGTGTAAGCTAAAACATATTTTTAGTTCTTTGATATAATATAAGATTTCATTAAATAGGTACGTGCTGAGTACTCAGTTCAATGGAGATAAGTAAGTAAGTACCGTGTGGTGACGGATTAAGTATCCGGAGTGTCACCACCCCTATTCATCCCGTGGGTGTCGTAAGAGACGACTAAGGGAGCAAACTACGCAGGATATCAGCACTGCAAAGAGAAGGAAAACTTGACACAAACCCTTTTTTTTTTTTTTTTTTTTTTTTTTTTTTTTTTTTTTTTTTTTTTTTTTTTTAACGTGTGGAAATCCCCTCGGACCGTCACCCCTCCGGGGTTTGCGGCGGGGTGGTGTGTCGGGCTCGGACCGACTAAAACCACACGGTGTGCCACTCTGCGCATGTAACAGGAGGGATCCGGGAACAGCTGTTGTTAAGACATCCGGACCCCTCCTAGCGCCAGCCCGCTCCTGGTGCGGGCTCCGTCTCAATGGTGTTCCTCTCTTTAGGCGACGTCCGGCACACGCGGACGCCGCCCCCTCGCGGCTGGCCAAACAAATGCGGGTGGAGGGGAAACCCACCCCTTCCACCCGCGGCCACACTCAGGGCGGCATGAGGCTGTGGTAGGCGGGCCTCCGCCGCCCGGTTCGCCGGCGGCGGATCGGGTCCGAGTGGAGGTCGTCCTCCCGGGCCCTCTCCGCCGCCTCCTTCCGCGAGATTACTACCTCGCAGAAGGTTGCGACCGCGGTAAAACAACTGTCGCTACCGGCCATGGAGCGTACTACGGCCGGTAGCGAGAGATTCACTCCGATGACTGCAGTGAGGGCCCGGCGCTGCGCCGCCCATGCGGGGCAGACCGCCAGCGTGTGCTGGGCCGAGTCCTCACTGCAGTCGCAGTGGTGGCAGGCGGGACTCAGTTCCCTCCTAGCGACCGTGTGCAGGTACTTTCCGAAGCAACCGTGCCCGGAAAGCACCTGCGTCAGTCGGAAGGAAAGGGTCCCGTGCTGCCGCCCTGCCCACTCGGCGATGACCGGCTGGAGAGCCTCCACGGCGGCGAAGCCAGCGCGTGGAGTCTCCAGCCGGAACGACCAACGAGCCATCGTGGCTCGGCGAGCGGCTTCGCGCCACTCGCGCACATCCTCGGGCGGAGGGCGAAATCCGCTCTCCGCCCGGAAGTCAGCCACTCGCCGATAAACTTCGGCGAGCACTTCCGCCTCCAAATCCCACGGGGGAGTTCCGGCCAATGCGCATGCCACCTCCGTAGAAACGGTGCGGTAACCGCGTATGGCTCTGACCGCCATTACCCTCTGAGGGCGCCAGAGGCGTACCCTATTCTGGGCGGTCAGAGCCGCCGCCCACACCGGTGCACCGTACAGTGCCATTGACCGGACAACCCCCGTGTACAGCCGTCTTGTCGCGACGCTGGGTCCACCCATATTGGGCAAGAGTCGCCCTAGGGCAGACGCAGCGCCGACCAGCTTTGGAGCAAGCTGTCGGAAGTGCTCGTCGAAGAGCCACCTCCCGTCGAGGATCAGGCCCAGATATTTCATCTGGGCCCGAACCGGTACGAGGACCGAGTTGACCACGATGGAGGCGCCAGGGGGTGGACCACGACGGGGCCCATGGAATAGCAGGGCCTCCGTCTTATCTAGGGCCACCCGTAAGCCCCAGCGCCTCAATGCGCCCGACCACCAGGGAGACTCCCCCTGTGGCCAGGCGCGCCGCCTCTTGGAAGTTTGCCCCCCGGGCTGTCACGAGGGTATCGTCTGCGTAACAGATTACACCCAGCCCGGGGGGGAAATCGGCGCGAAGGGCCCAGTCGTACCCTATGTTCCACAAGAGGGGTCCAAGAACAGACCCCTGTGGAACACCGCACGACATGGGCCGACACCTCAGATTACCTTCTCGGTCCTCGTACACGACGGTACGCTCCTCTAAATAGTCTGCCACCAGCCGCCTCAGGTACTTTGGCACCCCATGATAGTGGAGTGCTTCCCTGATGCAGCTGAATGGCAGACTATTGAATGCGTTGGCGATATCCAATGACACCGCCAACAGCACGCCGCCACAGCTCACAGCCTCTTCGGTCACGGCCCTCAGGCGCAACACAGCGTCGACTGTCGAACGCCCCGCCCGAAAACCAAATTGGGCGTCCGACAGATCGGGGCCCACCTCGCAAAGGTGCCGGACGATGCGGGCAGAAAGGACCCTCTCAAACAATTTGCCCGCCTCGTCCAGCAGCACGATGGGCCTATAGGCCGCGACCGAATCGGCAGGCCGTCCCGGCTTCCTCAATAGGACCAGCTTCCCGCTCTTCCAGCACTCAGGGAAGCGTCCCGACGCCAAGCTAGCGTCGAACACCTCCCCGAGGCGGTCTGCCATGTGGTTGAGGGCCAGGGCCAGCACTCGGGCCGGTACCCCGTCTGGCCCAGGGGCGGTGTTCTTGGAACGGATCCGTAGAACAGCCGCCCCTACCTCCGAATCCCGGACGTCCCCCGGGCCCTCTCCGCCGCCTCCTTCCGCGAGATTACTACCTCGCAGAAGGTTGCGACCGCGGTAAAACAACTGTCGCTACCGGCCATGGAGCGTACTACGTGCTCCCCGTCGTCTCCGGCCAGGGAGGCCATCGACGGGGGAGTGTGTTCTGCTCGTTGTGGGAAAAGGCCCTCAACCACTTCTCGCAGGAAGCTGGGCTGGAGAGTCTCCGTAAGGGGGGGGCCCGACGCGCGGAGCTTTTGTCGCACCGCGCGGTAAGGGCGACCCCAGGGGTCACGATTAAGACCCTCCAGCATCTCCTGTCTTTTTTCCTCTTTGGCGCGGCTAATGGCCAGCTTCAGAGTTTTCCGCGCCCGTCGGTACCCCTCATGAAGCCGGTCCTCCTCACCGTCTCCACGGTGACGCCGCCGACTGCGCGTGTAGGACCTCCGGGCACGTGTACAGGCCGCACGGAGGTCCGCCAGCTCCTGGGACCACCAGTAGACCTCCTTCCTTGGAGGCCGACGACCTCGAACGCGGGGCATGGCCGCATCGCATACATGCGTAATCGCATCGCGAAAGCGGCCAGCCCCCACGTCGACCTCCTCGGTCGGAGCCTGAGGAGACAGCCACGAGTGAATTATGGCTGCCTCCTCTAGTAGGTCCCGGTTCAGCCTGGCAACAGCCCACCGCGGAAAGCGGGATAAACGCCGCGCCACGTGACCCCTACTGGAGTCCTGGGTCCGGGAGAGCTCAAATCGGATATACAGGTGATCCGAGAGCGTCTCAACCTCTTCCAGGACACGCCAGCTCCTTACTCGTGCGGCGAGGGCAGGGGTAGCGAACGAGAGGTCCACTATCGACCCCCCCTGCTGTCGCACGCACGTGTTGGTGGAGCCTCTGTTTAGGAGACAGAGGCCCACCGAGGCCGCCCACTCCTCTACGGCCTCGCCCCTGGCGTCCGTCCTGGGGGAACCCCACGCAATGGACTTTGCGTTGAAGTCCCCCAGCACAAGGACGTGCCCAGACGCTAGTCGCCGTATCGAGGTCTCCAAGCTGGTTAGGAAAACCTCGAAGTCGTTCAAACTCCGGTTGGGGGAGAAATATACACCATATATGGTGATCCCCCCCCACTCGACGGCAACATATCCAGTGCCCTTGTCTCTTAGCGACAAGGGCGGGGAATGAGCCGTCGTGGAACCGACGACTGCCACGGAGCCGTCCCAGTCACCCATCCAGTTTGGACGGGGAGGGACAGAATAGGGCTCCGCGACTACGGCAACACCTATCGACCACTGTGCCATGGTTTGCAGGAAGAGATCCTGCGCCGCGGCACAGTGGTTCAGGTTCGTCTGGACCAGGAGGTTGGAGACTTGATCCATTACTGGATCGTCTCTACAACCTCCTCCATGGGCGACGACGTCGACGCACGAACTACATCGGAGGCAGCCTGGGTCGACTGGCTAACCCCCGACGTCTGCCGAGAACTGCGGGGAGGCTTGCAGCCTCTCTGCCCCATCTGGTGATTGGCGGGCTTATTGCCCGCCGCACACACTGGGCAGTGAGGGGCGGCAGAGCATTCTGCCGCCTTATGCCCCGGTTGACCGCAGCGGAAACACAGTCCGCCGCAGTCAAAACAACTGTCGCACTTGACGCGCGTGTGTCCCGATGCTAGGCATTTGTAGCATCTCATCGGTCTCGCCGCCAGGACTGTGATCCTGGCGCTCACGAAACCGATGAGCAGCCTGCCGGCGTCGGCCAATACTTTGGCCGACGCTACGGGACAGCTGACCCACACGGCGCCAAGCCCTCCTGGACCGGGGCGGATGGTGCCGACCCTGACGTTGTCCGCGCTGCACCCCGTCTTCTCCCGGATTACAGCGCGGACATCTTCGGCCGTCACAGAGTCGTCCAGGCCCGAGATGCGCAGCTCTGCGCACTTAGTAGGCCTGGCGATCTTTACACCATCCGTGGCTGTAAAGAGTCCCCGCAGCTTCTCGGCAAATGTGTCCGCCGTCTTAGCGCCTTCAGCCCCAGGGAACTCGAGGACTCGAGCTCCCGTCTGGGCGAGGCGCATCCTGACCCCCACCGTTCCAAAATCGTTGGCGAGGCTGTCCCGGGCCTTTTTGAAGACGGCCGCGTAGGACAGCCCGCCGTCCGCCGCCTCCGGGGACACGGTCACCACTACAGCCGCGGTTTTGGGCGGCTGCAGCTTCCGCGGCCTCTTTGTGGAGGCCGTTGCCACCGGCGGCGAAGGCTGGGCTTGGGCTGCTTTTTTGGCAGCCTTTTTGGCCCGCCCTCGGGACTTCTTGGAGCCCCTCGCCTCCTGCCAACCCTCGTTGGAGGGGGCAGGTGCGGAGGGGCCCGGCAGGGGTGTCGGAGTGGGGAGCGGAGGGAATGCCACTCCGCTCCTCGGCGCCGTTTTAGGCCCCGTCTTGGCCGGCGCCTGGGGATGTGCCTTGGCCGGCGCCTTAGCCGGTGCCTTGGCCGGCGCCTGGGCCGGTGCCTTGGCCCCCCTCCTCGGCTTTTGGGGAGCCGATGGAGTCGGGGCAGACGCCGCCGCCGGGTAGGAGACGCGGCCTCCCACTACGGGGAGCGCGGTCGGAGCGCCTTAGGCCGCTGTGTCGACGCGAGCGGGGGGCGCATACTCGGCGCAGGAGGCAATCTCGCCTCCAGGCCAGCCAGGCGTCCGTCCAGCATATTCCCAACTGCGATGAGGATTTCTCGCAGTTGGGAGTCAAATGCCCCTGAGTTGGTGGTAGGGGGGGCTGGGAGCTGGGCTTCCCGCTCGGGGAGGTTCGCCTGGAAGCGGGCGAACTGAGCGCTCAGCTCGTTCACCCGCTCCGTCAGCTTCTCGTTGGCCACCTGCAGGCGAGAGACGTCGCCCGCTAGGCCCTCCACGACCTCTGACAAAGCGGAGGAGGAGTCCTTAAGGGCCCTCACAAACGAGCCCTTAAGGTTCACGGATTTGGTGGCCACCTTGTTGATGACGGCCACCTTGTTGATGACGGCCACCGCCGCTTTCGCCCTCTCCTGCACGGACACGGGAGCCTGGGGGGCATTTCCCCCCACCGGCTCCCGAACCTTGAGCAGGAGATCCGCGATCTCCTCCTCCGCTACGGCCTCGCCGTCCACCCGTACGTTCCTGTACGACTCCGCGTTGGAGAACGCGGAGCCTGACGGGGTTGAGACCGGGGCCGAGGCCGGTTTGCGAGCCCTCCCTCGGCGGCTGCTTGCCACCTTTGGTGGCATCATCTCCTGGGACGTGTCGGTTTCCTCGTCCCTGGAGCGTCCTCGTTTCCGGCTGTCGCTTCGCTCCGCCTCCATGGCCTCCACGCCATCCGACGAAACGGCGGATCCGGAGCGCAGCCGATCTGATGCTCTTCGGCTCCCAGAGATCAGCGTCAGACTGACTTCTGGGAGCCCCACCGAGATAGGCGTTCCCGACGCTATCTCACCCTCCGTGGATGACCCATCCACTCCACTGTTCCTCTTCTCCTTCGTATCAGAGTCCGTTTTGCTTGCCTGTTTCTGTTTGGTTTGTATTGGTTGCCGTTTCTTTATATTTTTGTTGTTATGATCCATAATAAATCCCACGATTGGGGGAGAACTAAAGGTCCACCCGGGCAGAGATCCCCCATTACCCGGGCAAGCGTAAGTTTTTAACCCAACCGAGGGGTCCGCAGGTACCTCGGCTTGGAGTGCGCTCGCGACTGAACTTCCCATCAGCCATGCATCCCCTGGCCACGCACCAGAACACGGGATTCGGGGAATTTTTTAGAGAGGTTATCTTCCTCGCGGTCCGGGCGGTTAAGCCAAGACCCTCGCCCCCGATCAGAGCCGCGAGACTTAACCACAGCGCTCTTCTCGGGATTACGATATGCCGACGGTTGACAGGGAGACTACGTCCCCCTGCCTGCTCGGTGGTAGTGTGAGTACACGCCGAGCCCGTCCTCCTTTCTCCACCGCTATCAGCGGAGAAACTGTGGCCCCTACAGGGCCCCGCCATCAGGTTTTTTACCGAGGTTTCCTCCTCCATGCTCCGAAGAGCGAAGAGCCAGCAGGGCAACCGGCAGACACGCCCACCCTGCTGGACCAGGCCTTGCCCGAGAGCCGATGAACGGCTGCCTCTTCTGCTAGAATATTGGCCGCTGGCGATAATCCTCTCCTCCAAGAGGACAAGGAGGAAACAGTACCATCGCCAGCGTTTCCAGGGTGCACCACGAGGAGGTTTTCTAGCCCAGCACCCCAACACAAACCCTATACCAACCCGCCTGGCCAGCTTGGTATAGTAGACCTAAACCTGCTTTCTAAGGAGAGGCCTATGTCCAGCAGTGGACTGTTAAAGGCTGTTGATGATGATGATGAAGTAAGTTATAAGAGAGAGTATCAGAAATCACTAATGTTTGATTTAAATTAATTAACCAACTATACAGTATTTCTGGTGGCAACATTGATGGTAGTAATTATAGCACAAAGGTCTTTTTCAACGCCACAGTTATTATTCGATATTTAAAAACCACAATTACTCCGATATGACTGAGGCATAACAGAGCCAGTTCAGCTTTAATGATTTCTATGTAAATTCCATTTCAAATTTCTGGTAAGTTCACGTAAACTGTCTTGAGAAATATGAATAAAAAGAGTATTTTTCTAATTTCAGTTTTACAGCCTGCATCTAGATGGGCATTGACCGTGGTATCGATAATAATTTCAATGCAGGTAAGTTCAAATAATTCAAATATAAAAGAGATACATTTTATCGATTCTTCCTCATCAAAGTTGCGGTAATAAAAAGTAAGATTGGTTTTTCTGACTTCCATTTTTTAAAGGCCAAGAATCAAACAAATTACTCTCGGAAGACCATTGCCAGTTAAAAACTTGTCTCCATTATACTTTTGGTATCATTTTGAGGCTGTCCTGATACCTCTGATAGTTCTTTAACTAGGTGAAATTATGTATAATGAGACTTACATCTACCAACAAGTTTGGTAGAAGTAAGACGTTTGTACGCAGAAAATTTACTGCTCAAAAATAATAAAAAAATCTGGATAGTATATTTTGAAACATTTCTTTTAATGGATATTATTTATTTAAATCAATATTTAAAAAAGCATTATTTTACAGGTATTCATGGGATGCGTATGTGTCCAGGTTTATGCCAAGACAGTATTCATGCAATCTGATCCTAGCAGGGCTGATTTCTACACGATCATTTTTGCATTTGTATTATTTAGTGGAACTGCAGTCTCTGGTGTTATAACTGATAAAGCTGGCAGAAGGGTAAGGTTAAAAACTTAATAAATCTCCGTTAATTACTGCTACAATCTCAAATTAAGTAAAAAAATAAGTAGAGCAAGATTTGTTACTTTTATTCATCTACGTTCACTGTTTGATGTTTTGATAATTATCAGTGAACCGTTTATTACTTATAGTATCTGGCAATTTTCTGTTATGTATCCTAAAAGTAATTGTAACTTATACAAAAAAACTACTAAGAATACTGTCCTACTTTAAAGCCAGCGATGCTTTTTTTAAGTTATCGCTGTTTTTTTAGAACAATTGAATGTATTTTTAGAACACTTTTTGTTATATTGATGCTCTATTGATGACTCAAAATTTAAGGTTCTAGCTTTCTAGACGTGTGGCACTCGGGGACTGCCGCGGTAAAGCTATTGCATAGCATTTTTTATCAACTTATGCAATTATAATTATTTATTTATTTTATTTATGCAGTATTTTTTTTTTCTTTGATATTTTTTCAAGTTACACTTTTTGAGCGTGGTGACCGATAAGAAAACTTTTTTTCTTTTATTAAATAAATGACAAGTTAATATTATTCAAAATATTTTTATTATCTTACAATACATGTAGGTTATTCAGGAATATTTATCATTGAAATTGAAAGGTTTATGGTAACTGAAATAAGAAAGATAAGTTTGAGACTTGATATCTTCTAAATATCTGGAAAATACCGCGTCACAACCAATGCCACCTAGAGGCGAGTTGCTTAACTAAAGCGACAAGCGTGATATTTCAAAAAAGTCATTAAAAGTTCTGCTATTCATCGATAGATGGCAAAACTAAAAAGTATCACCGCTGTGCCGGTCGGAGTGGCGGGTGTTAGGTTATTTTCGTTACGGAATTTCTGGATTCGGTCTCCACGCTCAAGGCCCGCGATAGAAGCTATGCAATAGCTTAAAAACTTTAGCATTGTGATAATGCACGGACGGTGAGGCAGTGAGAGTAGTTGAAAAATTGCTGTGATATATTTATGAGAACATTGGAACCTGTTTTCGTCGTCCTGCCCCCGTCCGCTGCCTGGCTCAGTCTTCATTCGGAGAACGTTAACATTAAAACATGTCTTATCTCCCATTAATTTTTTGTTTTCTTCTTTTCAGTCGTTGATTATTCCCTCATCGGCGTTAGTATTTATATGCATGGCTGGTCTTGGTTATTTACTGCATTCAAATATTGCACCCCCATTGGTTACTGTGATTATGATTTTTATATACTCATTTTGCTTCATGTTGGGAGCTGGTACTATACCTTACGTGCTGCTAGCGGAGGCTTTTATACCTGAGGTAAGTTGAATCCTTCTTTTATGTAATATGGTATGAAATGCATTCACAAAACAATGCCAGTATTTTTTTTCAATTGTTTTACCAGTAGATATATATTCTATATCAAAAATAATCGCCTTAATTTCATTCTTAACTATTCAATAATCGAAGGCTTAGTCAATTTAATCCATTTTATCCATTAATTTAAAGTCACGATTAGAAAAATCTATTCTAATCGTGACTTTAAATTAATATTAGCTATGATTTGGCAAACAATTTTCTACGCTTGTTTATGAAAGGTGGCGATAAGACTGCCCATCGTTTACCTGTTGTTAATATCATATTTCTAGATTTTATCATACTTTTTTGGTGTGCAATAAGTACCTACACATTCAATGTGTCACGTATAAACGACTGATAAAATATTTACAAAATTTGATTTAGGCACAACAGTCAAGTAATTTTACCATTGTACCTTTTATTATAATGAAGTTTTAGGTTAGACCCAAGTAGTAATAAAACATATCTTGCCCAGTTTCCACTCTCACTTTCCAATATCTTTGTTTTTAAATTGATGTGTTATTCTTTTCAGGTTCAAAGTTTAGCTTCAATGATAGTCATCGAACTGGTTTGGTTCACAAACTTTATAATCATAGCTCTGTTTCCTTATATGGTTGACATGTTCGGTATTCACGGTAGCTTCTACTGTTTTAGTGTTATAGGTTTGGCGAATGCAATATTCTCATTCTTCTTTGTACCAGAAACTAAGGGTCTGTCTAATGCTCAAATTCAGGATGCATTTTTATCCAGAAAGAAAAACTAAAAAGGTTTATAGTAAGCCTTATGAGGTAAGACTAAGAGCGATTGTGATCGAATAGTTCAATCAAATTAGTTTTTTAGAAATGTGATTGATGTACATAGTAATGATATCAGTATTTTACTCTTAAAAGTGTTTATTTTATTAGGACAAGAATTAAGAATAGTTAAAATTTATTTATTCTTAAAGAACTTGAAAAATGTGTGATAAACTTTTAAGCTTAGATTAATTTATGTATTAGAAATTGTTATGTCTTTCTCTTATCTGTCTCGTAGCCAATCACAGGCTGAATAAAAATCTATAATATCTTTAGCAAGATCAGCAATTTGGGATGATAGAAATAATCCTCTCAGTGAGAAAACTAATTATAAGTGGTAGTGATAGTCGTTACTCGATTAATTTTAATTCATATAATTTCATCAAAGGATTTGCGAGTGATTTGGTAAGACTCGAAACTGATGACTTGTTAAAATGAAGTTGTTTACGAAATCTTTTCTTGTATGTGAAAGTATGGTTAGAAAAGGAATAAGCAGTGATAAAACAATCTGTTACATAGTTACATATTTTTAAATAAAACAAAATTAATAGTAAATAATTTAAAAGTCAAAAGGCAAAAGTTCAATTGTATAATACTTTTACTTTCAGATTCCTTCCATATCAATATAAATGTATGTATATATGTAATGTAATCGTGTGGTGACGGATTAAGAATACAGAGTGTCACCACCCCTATTCATCCCGTGGGTGTCGTAAAAGGCGATTAAGGGAGTAAACTACGCAGGACAACAGCACTGCAGAGAGAAGAAAAACTGGACACTGACCCTATACCAACCCGTCTGGCCAGCGTGGTGTTGTAGGCCAAAACCTTATTTCTAAGGAGAGGTCTATGTCCAGCAGTGGACTAGTAAAGTCTCTTGATGATGATGATGATGATGATGTGTGCCTCACGTTTCAATCTCTCGTGCTTCAGACACTTTATGTTGTAGATTTTCTATACTAGATCCTGTCACACAACAAGCAACGCTAACCTGTACACTGCAGCTCCTGTAACCTGTCAAAGGGTTACTAAACGTTTTTAATACTAGTTCAAAATAATACGTATAAATGTGTTGACGGATGTTGTGCATTATCTGTATAAATAGAAATAAGTATTAGTTAGTAAGCGAATGAAAATAATTTACAAAAGAATTAGTATTTAAATGTTTTTATTGGTTCGAATAAGTTTATCAGGCTGTATTGTTACTGAAAAATCGCTTAAATGAAAAATAACACCGTCTAAGTAACCTAGTGTTTCGCAAAATTGGCAAGAAGTGTGTGAGAAGCAGCCAGGACGCTTGTGTTTTCGATTTGATTTGACCAATGAAAATGTGCTGTGATAGATGTCAATAGTTACTACGATCCTTTTCCTAAACTTGGTTAGAGTCGGATTACAGACTACTACCATATGGCTGAAGTCTGATTTTTTACGTGGAGCGACTGCCATCAGAAGTCCACAACCCAAATTCTGCTTGACTAGATTTTTGGGGCTACGACTACCCGTAACTATAAAAAGAGATGTCCGTATATCGTGTCGGCTTTTTAATGTACTCTCCAAGGCATGGAGGAGTCTCAAAGTGTTAAGAATGGTTACCCATCCATAGATTGACATGGATAGGATTGCTTTGTTTGCAAGTTGTTTGTAGTCCTTCTTGGGTATGAGCCCTTCACAATAAATTTGGCTACTGTTTTCTTTTTGTACAAGAGTGGAGATATTAATTTCTTGGAGGACTTGTAATGGCATTTGTAATGAAAATAGTATTCAAAATGAATGGCTAGGAATAAACTACTATTCGTTTAGATAGGTTTAACTTCATATGCATTTATTTATTTACCAGTATCGTAAGTTAATATTAGGTAAGAACCATAATTAAGTTCTTTAGGCAATTCCTATACTGATGTTTGCGATTTCATTTATTTAAATCATTTATTTGTTTTCAAATCTAATAAGAAATTTTATGAAACAGGGTTTTTTGACATTTTCTATAGTAATCGATATATTTTTTAATACTTTTGGAGAGAGCTGACCGTTTTTTATACTAGTAAATATTTGTACATAAAAAGTGACTTTTACCCTTTTTACAATTACTAAATAATTTTACTTTAATCTCGTATTGTAAATATTATTCGTATTATAATAAAAAAGCTAAGTATATACATTTTAAGTTATTTTATATTGACATCATACAATCATGAATATCATCTGCCGAACCCTTCACCGAAACTTAATTTCTTTTTATTTCTATCTATCCAAATCTACTTTTACGCACTCCATTTATCATAACAATAGGTAAGGATTTTTATGTTAGTTGTTTGAGTATTTCATCTTATCTGTCTCTTTGACTGCACGAATGGCGTAGTGGTTTAAGCGGCTTCCTGACGCTGAGTATTGTGGGTACGATCCCCTCATGGCACTACACTTTGTGGATTCCACAAATTTTTGTTCTTTGTGTCCATTTCATGTATGTCTGTAAAGTCCTCCGCGACACAGGATATATTGCTAGTGCGGGAGCTGTCTTTTTAAAAGAAAATTGAACTAATTTAAGTTTGACTATATTATTATTGAATACAAAGTCATATATAACACTGAAATGTCTTCCGGACAAATATCTTACGCTCCATAGCGAAAATCCAGGAACCTTAATGTAAAGTTTAACCGCATTTATTCCTTGAGATGCTTAGAGGCTTCAATCTCGTCGTATTTGCGCGGTATCGATGGTCCTTCAAACTTTCTTTAAAGTCCTAAGTGCTTAAAATCCTTTTTCTTACTTGAGTAGCTCCAATTAGATTTGAACATATTACTTTTAGTAATAAGTGGAGAAAAAGAAGTTTATCCATGTTGAGTTTCAATATGTCATATATCTCACACATCTCACACACGGCAGTCTGATCCCAAATTAGGCAGAGCCTGTACTACGGTAACCAGACTGCTGATAAATATACTTATATATTTTTATAAATATTATAGATAAATTACACCCAGACACAGAACAAATGACCGTGCTCATCACACAATATTTGTCCTGGGTAGGAATCGAACCCACGACCTCCGGTTTAGCAGTCAGGGTCACTAACAACTAGACCAACAGGCCCGTCAATGTTTTATATAATTTTGATTGGTGTAGTAGTTAGTGACTTTGATTGCTAAGCCAGAGGTCGTGGGTTTGATTCCCACTCGGGACAAATAATTGTGTGATGAGCACGATTTCTTATTCTATCTGCTGGTGTAGTTTATCCAAAATATGTATTTATTTTGAAATATTTAAATTGTATATCAGCAGTCTGGTTAACAAAGCACAGGCTCTGCCTAGTTTGGGATCCAACGGCCGTGTGTGAGATGTGTAAAGTTATTACTATTATTATAGTTTTGTGTAACGTTCTGTATTTTTTTGTAATACCTGGTCTACCAAAGCTAATCGCATACTCGTTATACATGATCAGCTTTGGTGGTCGGCTACAGTGTACAGCCTTAGACACAGTCGGAGCTCTCAATGACGTCCCAGGTTCAGAGAATCTGACGTACCTCGGCTGTCTTTTGATGCGCCATTGGCACCACAGCGATGTTCACTGATTGACTACTCCTCAATTTTCGAAAATAAATTAAACAAATGGATCGAGTATCGAGATAACCAGTTAAATTGTATTTTGTGGCCAGTTCATGTCCCTGTTTTAGTGTAGGGACGGATTAAGAATACAGAGTGTCACCACCCCTATTCATCCTGTGGGTGTCGTAAGAGGCGACTAAGGGAGCAAACTACGCAGGAAAACAGCAGTGCAGAGAGAAGGAAATCTTGACACAAACCCTATACCAACCCGTCTGGCCAGCATGGTATAGTAGGCCAAAACCTCCTTTCTAAGGAGAGGCCTATGTCCAGCAGTGGACTAGTAAAGGCTGTTGATGATAATCCTTTGAGGCGGCGAGTCTCCTAGCTGGAACTCCACCATAGGACCTGGAGGCGAGAGCCCTTGCGGCTCTGTATCAGTGGAGCAAGGAGGCGCGGGAGCTGGGAAGGAGTCCTGAGTTTCGAGAAATCGAGGATCAGAACTCGTGGAGGAGTGGAAGGAACGACTTGGGCAACCGAGCGCTGGGCACGTTGTTATCGCGGCGGTAAGACCCGTTATGGAGGATTGGCTCGAGAGGCATCACGGGACCCTCTGATACCGTTTGACGCAGGTGATCACGTAGAAAGGATGCTTCGGGGATCACCTGTGTCTGATCCACAAAGAGCCAACGCCTGGGTACCACCACTGCGATGGCCGGACCGTGGACACGGCGCTCCACACTTTAGCAGAATGCCCGGTGTGGGTGGAGCAGAGGCGTGACCTCGTGGCGGCCATGGTGCGGAGCGAGAGTGTGTGGAACTGCGCCGTCTCCTTCTGCGAGCAGGTTATGCTTGCGAAGGAGATGGCGGAGAGGGTCAGAACCCTCCTGGCTCGCCGACCGACCTCCGTCCTCCATAAGCGCAGGCCCGAGGGTGACAGGTGAGGCCATCTGTCACTCTAGCAGAAGCAGGCCGGGGTGAGTAATGGCGGGACGCGCTACCGAGCGCGCGCGCCCTTCGGAGCAGGAAGGGAACATCCGGGTTCCCACACAGGAGGGGTCATCAATAAGCCGTAGATGGCCTGAGGTACGTCGTGGTACTAGGGCTTTCCTTTCTAGGTTCCCCGGCTACTGGTACCTGGAGACGGCGTGCGGTTTTTGGTCGGTTCGAGTCCGACATAATCACCCACTGGTGGGTGGTATCCGAGGGGAGTTCCGCATAGAAAAAAAAATATTGGTACTAGACCGAGGTAAAGAAACTGATTGAGCGGGAAGCCAGGCAAAACACTGTAAGTCGAGTTACAGTCTTTTGGATTGGCACGGCAAGGGCGTGGTTTATATCAATGTTGTACAGTACACCACGTGCCTAATGTAAATCAGTATCAGGCAAATGCCTGATTTTTATAACAGTTATCTTATCTTCAAACTG